CTTCCAAAAAATAACCCATTTCCGTGGCCGTCCCCCTTCTCTCCCCCCTCTGTGGCTGCCTATTGCTGCTAATGGGGTTCCATCACCCCTTCTCTTCTTCTCTTCTTGCTATATGATACAAGCAGACGTATCATACCAGTGAAGGAACGGAGTGGAGGAGAGGATCTGCTCTTTGTGTGCAATACGGGAGCGTTGTCGTGGTGCTGCACTGCGCAGCGCACAACCCGATGTGCAGGAGGAGCTGCTGCTGCCCGACCAGAGCAGCACAGATGGGCTCTTCAGCATCATTCTTTGTTCTAAAAGTCCGATTGTTTGCAGGGGGAGGAGGACTGCGTCCGCTCTTTGCTCTTCGCAGAGCTGCACCTCGCGAAGCTATCAGGAATTGCAGATACGGATTAGAGGACTTGAATGCGAGGTGTGTTCGGTCACCTAAATCCTATTGGCACCGTTTGAGCTTTGCCTGGGTAATTGATTCACATGTAAATCGGATGGATAAATCCTTTACAGCTGAAATACGCTCCCTTTTACCCCCATTTCTTTGCTTCTTTCTCTTGAATGGCGCAGGACTATAATCTCACAAAGGGAGTCCTTTGCCAGGAGGGCAGAAGCCAGGTCTATATGATGCTTGTTTCTTGCATTCCTCACCTGTTAATGGCTTGGCTGTCGCTTCTGGCTCATCGCCTGCTTGTGCAACCCTCATACGAGGCCAGGTGTGCCTTTATTGCCCCAAGTATATGTTAGCTAAGGGCTGAGCATGGGACAAATCTCTATTTTTGGCCAGGGAGTGGAATGTAGTTGTGAAACGGGTGCCCGGCTGGCAGCCCAGGTTTGTTTGGTTTGGGGATCTGCACAGAGGGACTCGAGCTGGTGGGAGGAAAAGCCTTTGTGAGCGCTTTGTTTTGTGAGCATTGAAAGCTATATTTTTCCATAAGGCTTCACTGATCTTCCATTAGAGACAGGGCTCCGAAAGAGGAATGTTGCCTCCCAGCCCACCTCCATTGAACCAGCAGTGCCACAGATGGCAATTCCTGGAGGCAGAGCCTTACAGCACAGCCCGGCAGCCCCTCACCCCACATGGCAGTGATGCCATCTCCCCCATAGATCACACACTGAGCCACCCCGCCCATGACAGCAGGGTTGGATTTAGATGATCTTTGAGATCAACCCAAGCCATTCTAGGATTCAATGAACATAGCCACCACTATTAGCTATGCATTTTTGCAGGCAATCCACATTCTGCTCCCATCAAACTCTGCACCAGCAGAGCTGACCCACTGCCACCACTGCTGAACTGCACCACCCCCACCTCACTTTGCTCACTGACACTCTTTGGTCTCTATCAACTTTTTCCAGGTGTTGACGAATGGCAGTGGGGTTCATTTTGTTCTGCATGGAGGGATTTAATATCACACCTTTGTTACGTCCTCATTGCCGTGTCAGACACCATTCTGTCAGACTGCCCCTCTGCTGCCATCCATCACACGACAAGAAAACGTAACAGAATGTTGGTGGAAAGGTTTAACCTCTGCTGCCATAACACCAACATCCACTGCCATCTGCCACTGTGGGGCAATGGCATAAAATGGGAGGCATTACTTTTGGAGCAGCCCTGATTGAAAATATGGTTCATGTAATACAGATAACAAAGCTTATTTTAACCTTGATTTTTTTTTTTTTTTTTTTTTTTTTTTTAATTCAACCAACTACAAAAAAGAGGGCAATGAAAACACGAAGCCAGTGGGAAATGGGACCCATGGGAGCAACTGCAGCTCTCGTGGTGCTGGTCAGGGCTCTGTGATGGGGTTTTGCTCCTCCTGTGCTTCGTTCTTGGAGGCACCAAAAAATGGTGATGTGAATAAGTTGTGATGAGGAAGTGAGGGGCATTTCTTGCTGGAAAGACAGGGCTTACGAAGGTCTGGTGAAGAGGCAGAATCAAAGTTTTCTTTGAGTTGAAGGTCTGATTTGCAGCTCGATCTGTTCTGTTTGAGAATTCACAGGTAGTGTGTTTGTGTCAGCAGGCAATAGAGTCTGCTCCCTGTGTGCCCCTGGGAATGCTCAGGCTGCTTTGGAACCTAATTAACGCCTTGGCTTTGGAGATGCCCTTTGGCAGCGTATCCCATATTTGAACCATCCATGTGAAAACGCATTTCCTCCCGCCCCAAATCCCTGCTTGAGCCGCTTATGCTGCAATCCTGTTTGCTGGAGGTGTTCTGCTGATGTGATTTCTTTCCCAGCGCTTTACTTCTGCCTCTGCTTATCTGCCTGCTCCCCTCTGCTGTGCTGGGGGGCACTGGGGTGGAATGGCCCCATCCAGAGCAAAGCATTGCCCCTCGCCTCCCCCTAATGGTGTACGGGGGTCTTGGAACCCCTGAGGTTCCCTTGGCTTAGGGCTGAACTGATTTGCTTCTGCATTTGTGTAACAAAGGCTGCTGTGTGCCTCCTATCATCACTGCCAGCTGTTGAGCATCAATATTTATAGCGTTTGCTATACAGCTTTTTGCATCTCTGTCGTGGATATGGGGAGGGGAAAAAAAAAAAAAGCCAATAAAATGGTTCGTGCCCACTGCTGCCACTGTCCAGAATGTGAATTTCTCTCCCCATCTCTATATGGGGTTGCCATGAACAGGGGATTTTGTGCCTGGCTTTGGCTGTGTAGAAAACATCCATAAATCATACAGGGAGCAGCTGCTGCTCTCCGCCGAGCCAAAATGCATCAGATATAAAACACTGCTCAGTTCTTTGGTTTGGTGGGGATAAAGTTGCTGTAGTGGAACGTCGTTACAGGCTGTTGTTAATTCACCTCAGGGCTGCTTCTAATAGCACAGCACAATTCCCTCCTGAGAACGAGATGGGTGTTCTGATGTCAGGTGGGGATGGAAGGAAGGTTTTAGGAATTGAAGCTTTGAGGAAGGAATAACTGCAGTTTGTGCTGTGATACGGGGAGAGTTCCCTGCTTTGTTACTGATGGAAGCCCTGACAGTTCCTGGGGGACTGCAGGCGGTTCTGTCACAAATCCCACAGCAGCTCAGCCCTGAATGAGGGACTGAGTGCTGCTGATGGTGACCAGGACGGCTGCTGGATTTGGTTCTTCCTTGTGTGGTTTTCAGCTGTGTGCCAGGCAGGAATCCTGCTTCTGCCCAGCTCCTGGCTTACAGCTGCTTTCACCCGAGCAAAACAGCTTAGGAAATCTGTCCTAAACGTTTGACACTAGGCTCAGTGCCTTGCAGAAATGCCATTGGCACCACGTTCAGCAGCGGGCTGTGGTGCTGCTGGTCTGACACAGTGCTGTCCCTTCAGCCTAAAGGGGAAGGAAAGCAACGGGGAAAGCTGCACTGTTTCCTGGAGAAGGAGCCAGCATCTGATCAGGGCTCTGCTTTTCTCCTTAGAAAATGAGGCTTCGAAATGTCCCATCTCCTCCTTGCAGTGTTTTGGCTGAAAGAAGTGAGAACTGGGTGGGTCTGAAGGCGTTACCAGGCTGTGGGCAGGACGGAGCTGCCGTGCTGTGTGGGGTCCTTCAGCGCCCAACCCCCTTGTGGGCCCTGGGCAGGGATGAGCAGTGGGAGAAAACGAATTCCAGTCCCTGTTCTTATCAGATCCTGAGCCTGAGCAGCGCTGCTCTGCGTCCCATGCTGTGCTGCTGGTGGCTGCGGTCACATTAAGCGTGCTCCCTCCAATAGCCTCCACTTAACAACAGCTTCTGCTGGAAAAGAAACGAGCGTTTGCAGCACGAGCAGAGCCCAGGGAGAGGAGCTCTCAAACTGCTGGAGCTGACCTCGGTGCGATGTGTGAGGGCTGCAAAGTGCCGTCATTCAATGCATTTCTTCTGAGCTGCACCGCACCGACTGGGGGAATCTCAGGGCTGCGTTTCAGTAAAGCTGCAGCAAATGAGGAGTTGGGTTTTGGATTCAGATTGCTCCAAGAAAGCCTCCCGAGCTCTCCCCTCCCACACGCAGTGCTGCTGCTGGGGCTGCTCAGTTCGGTGCTGTGTTGGTGCTGCTGGTCTCTGTGTTGCACAGCAGCTCCCTGCGGACGGCGGCTGCTTTGATGCCACTCGATGTGAAGCACATGAAAAATCCTTCACTTGGGTTCTAAAGTCTCACAAAAAAAAAAAAAAAAAAATCCTGCCGGGACTTTGATGTTGAGGAGATGCCGCTCAAAGTGCCCCAACCCTCTGAAGCCCGCCTGCCTGCCCTTATCTCAGAGGCAGAGCAGCAAGTGGGTGCCTCAGGCAATAAAACAGCAGCAGCAGCAAAACTGTGCGCTGATTATTTATGGTCTGAGCATCTGCAGGCAGGAGAGGAAATCGCCCCGAGAGCCCTGTTGTGCCTTGAAGGACCCCGTTCTTTGTTATGGAAGCTGTGAATGGCTGCTTGAGGACCTTTTGCCACCTTGCAGCTGAGTGATGCCCGGTGCTGGGATGCTGCTGGGTCAGGTCGGCTGTGCTGGGATGCAGCAGGGCTGCTGGTAGCTGCTGCTGTAGGATCAGACTGTGCTGCTCTGGCATTCCCCACGCCTTGCTGCTGCTGTGTGAGCGAGGGAGTGAAATTGGCCTCAAACCAATTTGGTTTTATTATTTTTTTAAGTTTTATTTTAACTTCTCTCAGCAGTGTGACAAACCAGGGCCGGGTGTGTGGTTGGCTCCCGTGTGCTATATTTGTTTTCCGGGGTGATGCTTGGTGCTCTGCAATGTGTCACACACTGCACCAAATTGCTTTTCGCAGTTAAGAGGGAATTAAACGATCTCCTTTTTTGTCTATATTGTGTTTCTGTGCACAGGAATCAATCCGACCCCACTGTGAGTTGGTTTAGGGATGCTCTCCTGCCAGTGACTGTGAAATAATTTTCTGCACAGCATTCCCAGCCCATTCCTGTTTGGTGCAGGCTCTGACGGGGTAAGCACGAGTGTGCCTGATGGCACCAGGCTGCAGAATAGCTTTTGGGTTCACTGCCTGCCCCGTCCAGCAGCACCAGGGCTGGTACAACCCCATAGGGTAAGAGGGATGCGCCTGCTGGTCGCCGGTTCGAATCCCGCCTCGGCACTTTGTGCGGTGAGCACTGGGGCTCCCTTAGAAATAGGGATTTATTTATATCGTGACTAGTGGCAGGGCTGTGATTTACCCCCAGAGGGATGTCTGCACAAAGCATGGCGCTAATTCCGTATGCTGTGCTGAGGATGTGTCCAGAGATGCTGTGTCCTGTCTTCATTAAAAGCTGAGCGAGATGGAAGGCTGAAATCCTTACTTACAGAAGACGTATGTGTGTAATATAAGGCTGCTGCTAATTCTTCCTCGGGATTGATAGAGAACATCAAGGACAAATTCACTCAATACTGCATTTGCTTCTGTAAGTGAAGCTTCCCCGAACCTGAGGCGAGACAGAAACATGACTTGGTGTCTGTGCTGCTCTCTTTCAGTCAAATGGAAATAGCTGTCTTTATTTAAGAGGTCTCTGTTGGCACTGCGGTGCCGATGCTTCCTGAGACAATGCAATGGACAGAAATCTATTTTCCAGGCTGGAAGGAAAGAAAACAAAACAACAACAACAACAAAAACACCAACAAATTGGAAGAATGAAGAGTGAGGAGGAATTGAAGTGTCCACAGAGTTCACAGTGTGGGTGATTGGAAGTGATGGGAGAAAGGCAGTGAATGCTGCTTGTGTAACACGCAGCACTGGGTCTGAATTCAGGACCGCTCTGCCTGTGTCCACGTGCAGCACTTGGTAACAAGGTTTGTAGCTTTTGGTTTGATAACATTCAGCTCGCTGTACTTCACTAAGTTGGGAAAAGATGGTTTCTTGTCTATAAAATTCCTGCTGATGCTGGTTTGTTGTTTATCCTTGTAGCATTTGTGCTGTGTGCTCTGCCGTGCACCCAGAACCCAGCACTGCTGTCCCTTGAGCTCATCTTCCCCCTCAGTGCTATCTCCTCATCCTTCCTGAGATTGTTTCCACCTCCTGAGTTCCACAGGTAGGAAACTGCACAGGTGAGTGATCAGACGCAGCCGCACGCAGGGACGCCTCTGACGTCCGTCTGTTCACGCCGTGCTGCAAACCCCGTGTGCGCAGCCAGCAGAGAGCAATGTGTGCCCCAGGTCAGCGTGAGCTGGGGCCTTCCTGAGGCTCAGTGCTGCTATGGGTGCTCAGCACCTGCTGGGCTGCTGTGTCCCGGGAGCTGCTGAGAGGTGTGAGCACGGCTGGGGGGTTTGGGGATGGGATGGAGCCTGGTCCTGACTGCAGGACTCAGTGCCTGCAGCTCTGCTCTTGTCTCCAGGAGTTTCCAGGTCCTGTTTGATCAGATCTTACTGCTAGAAGTGAGCTGCTGAGCTCAGTTTTGGGATGATTCCTTCATTGTGATCTGAGCGATCCCATAAACAGGATGGGGAAATAACCCTCTGCTATGCAGGGCTATGAGGCAGAGCGAGCAAAGCACTGAAGAACATTGCTGCACGTGTTTGGTGGTGGCTTCTGGACTGCGTTGCTGCTGCCCATCACAGTGGTGGAGACCTCCTGCAGTGCAGCCCCTCCACTGCACACCATGCTGTGCTCCCCAGGAGAGGGGAGAGCTGGAGCTTACAGCTGCATTTGGCTGTTCTGGAAGCAGGCTGGGAGCTCTGAGTCTGGCAGCAGCCTGCATTAATACGTACTCCATATTTTCTCTTCCCAGTTGTTGCTCTAACAGCCTCACTCCATTCATTTGCCGTGCCGATTCTATACCTGAGTGCTTTTCTCCCTTTCCGCAGCGCTGCTCTCTTTGGCTGGCTCTTTTGTTTTGTTGACATCAGAGAAAACACTTTCCATTGACATTTGAGCAGAGTGCTTCCATTCATGCCCGCAGCAGCTGCTCACCACCCCACGAGCAGCAGGCAGTGTTTGCTCAGGGCAGTGCTATCAGAGGGCACCATTCGTGCCACCAGGTTTAGTTTTTTCCCCTCGGGAGACAGCGCTCAGTTTATGTGTATTCTTAATACGGAGTTTCTATTTCCCCTTTGAAGGAGTTTTATGGGCTGAGGTTACTCTTTCTTTTTATTCACCACATAACAATAAAGCAGTGTTGTGCTCCCGCAGCCTGCAAACCTCCAGCACGAATCACACCCATAAAACCCCTGTGCTGTTATTCAAACCGGGGCAGAAGAATTCTCCGTGTTTTCATTCAGGTTGCTCACTCTTTTATTTTAAGACACGTGTGTGGTTCTCCCCGAGCTCCTATGGTTCTTAATGCTGGAGAATAAAAAATGGCAGATTTAATCACGTTGAATAACGTATATTTGTTTGCTTTAACACCGCTCTGCGCAGCGCCTCGGGGCTGCTTGGGGCATCCACGTGCACTCTCTCCACAGCCCTTCTGCTTTCCAGCCTTTGTGTGGTGATGATCTCTTCCTGAGTTCCTTGCGATGCTTCATTTTAATATATATTCCCCTGTCACTGCAGAGCTGAGCTCAGCCTTCCTGTAAGCGACACCTGAAGCACTGCTGCGAGGGGAGAATGAGATCCAGGTGAGTGAGAGGAGCGAAGGGTGAGACTGAGACTGAGCAGCAGAAACCCACGCAGAGAGGAGGAACACCCGTGCTGGGGCACAAAGCACACTGCCTTCTTGCAGTGGGAGCTTGGATGGTGCTGTCCCAAAGGGCACAAGCTGCGATGGGAGCACACAACCCTAAGGGCAGCAGTGTGTGTTCCCCTGCCAGCTGCTCCCTGGGATGTGATGCTATCAGCTCAGCTTTGTTCTGCTGCGTGCATCCTCGCTCTGTTGCACAGCACCGAGCAAAGCACCGATAGGATCTGCCCAGCCCTGCACAATGGAAAGTGGCAGGGCACCCAGCCAGGGCCCGTCCTCAGCCCTCCTTTGGGCTCTGCTCCCACAGCGTTGCTGTGTCACACGGATGCTGCTGGCTTTGTGCATTTCAGTACAGCTGCTTTTCTCACTGTTATTCTTTACAGATGCATTAGAAATCCATCTGAAGGTCAGTCTTCACAAAGCCGATGCTTATCAGCTTTCTCCAAGTTGCTTTTTTACTTTATTATTTTTTAAGTTTTTGGTGAAGAAAATCATTTTCCAACGCTGTGTTTGAAGCATCAACGAGCACTGTTAATCCCACAGCTCCTCAGGGTGGGGAGATCCGGTTCCATCCCACCCCACAGCCCCATCAGCCCCCGGTGTGACCTGTGTGCTGCAGTCACACCGACAGCTCCCCCAAAATATGGTCTCCTTCCAGCGTGGGGATCCCACAGGTCACCACTTTGGGCACCTTTTTAAGGCAGAAAGAGGAAAAAGCTGTGCCCAGGTGAGTGCCCCAGGATAGGAAGGGAAGCTGCTGCTGGGAAAGGCAGCAGTGACGTGATGCTGTATAAATCAGCAGCCTGGCAGCTGGGTGTTGCTGGCGGAGATGCAGGAGGTGCCCAGTGCTGGGATGCGACGGCTGTGAGGAAAAGGTGTGTCCAGGTGGTGGCAAATTTGATATAAGGGCAGCTGCTGGCACTGCTGCTGCAGCACCGAAAGGCAGCGGGCAGGAGCTGGGTGCTGTGCAGAGCCTGGTTGAGACAGCATCTCCCAGTGCAGGTGACAGCAGAGCTGTGTCTTGCAGTGCCATCCCTGTCCTTTTGCACTGCTCATGCCACTGCTTCCCCTGCTGCAGGATGATGAAGCCGCTGAAGCTTTTTGGAATGGTGATCTTCTGTGGGCTGCTCTCTCCCACCCAGGGGGTTCTGTCCGGCCTGTCCTGCACCGTCAGTACCAACGCCATAAAACAAGGTAATGCGAGTGGTGGTGGTCCCGTGGGGCCAGAATGTGGTATAACCCCTGACTGCTGTCATCACCGTATGGTTCCTCGGGGCTGCAGGAGCCATTGCTGGCTTCACAGGGAGGGACACCTTCTGTCTCCAGGACAGGGGTGGCATTCTGCTCCGAACAGCCATGCAGAACTCTAGGATTCTGGATCCTTCCCTCTTTGTCTTTGTTTTCATTTCCCTGTTAGAGCAGCTGATTTTTTGCCAACAGCCACGGTGAAGCTTAGCAGCCACCTTCATGTGCACGGTGCTCTGGCTTGCATCTTGTTGCTTCTGTTCCAAAAACAGACCAAAGGAAAGCAAAACCAATGCCCTCTGGAGGCAAGCAGCAAGCAGTGGGCTGCAGCTTTGCCGTGCTCCTGCTGAGCCCAGTGAGGGCAGCTTTGTTATTAGGCATTATAAAACATCACCCCCAACTATTTGACCACACGGATGTTGGAAAGGGCTCCCACAGGAGTTCGGGGAGAGGTGGGAGCTCACACGGAGCTGTTTTGCAGTGCTGTCCAGTGCCATCATTAGTAGCGGGCTTTTGCAGACGCACCTGCACGACCTGGTGCTGCCGAACATCATGAGTGACAGGGGTCTGCTGAGCTCCTTGATCGTCATCACAGGGTGAGCAGGGCTGGGCGTTGCAGGCAGCGCTTTGCCCTCGGGGTGCTCTGTAGTTTTGTGATGGCTGTTTGCTGCTTTTTGCAGGCTGCACCTGGAGAAGTCCCAGCTGCCCACACTGTCGTTGGAGCTGCTGCCTGGGATTGGGATGCAGTTGGCCATCAGCGTGCACCTGGATTTCAGTGGCAACTGGTGAGTGTGCACGGCTCCGACATGCTGTCAGGTCTTTGAGTCCTGCGTGGGTTCACCGACAGCAAACCTACATGTAGCAGAGAATGGCTTGTGGCCTTCACCACAAATTACTGCAGATGGAGGTTTTGCTGAGCGTCTCTGGTGAGCGGAACAGATTCCATCTCTCAGCCTCTCATTTGCCTCTTTCAGCTTGATTGGCCTTCTCTCCAACGTAATTGTTATCTCCCTGGATGTGACCATTACCACGAACATCAAATATGCAAATTTTGAGTCGGGTGCAGTCCAGGTCATTGCTGATGATTGCTTCTGCATTCTTGGTGCTGTAAAGATCGAGCTGCTCTCTGGGTAAGCAGTCGTGGGTTGATATTTTCCACTGCCCTGTGCTTTATCCCATGATCTGGATTGGCTGCCAGTGCTGTGCCAGCAGAGCCAGGGAAGAGATTCCTTTCCTGCTGCCAATGCTGGTTCCTCAATGGAAAATTGGCTGTTGGAAGATGAGGGCTGACCTGCCTTGTTTGCCCATGGGCACATTAAGAACTGAATGACAAGGTTTAGCATCAATTCCAATGCTGTTCTGTTAGACCTAGCTAGTGAACTGATATTCGAGACATACTAACCTGAAGGTGGGGGGCTGAGAGGGGTGGTCAGGAAAGCAGCCCCACTAGTGTGCCTTGCTCTGTTCTCCAGTCTTGCCCTTTGGCTGCTGTGGCAGAAGGATGTTTGGGCATTTGATCCATCAGTCTGGCCACTGTGGGGCTGTGTGATCCCATGCAAGTGTCCCCTCTGCAGGGGGTGGGTATGTGAATGCCCAGATGTTTCATGGTGGATCCTGCAGGGAGAACTCTCCCATAAGCAGAGTGCTGCATGGCGAGTCCACACCATCTGCAGATTGCAGCACTGCTTTCTGTTCGAGCTCAGTAGCCCAGAAATGTATTGATTCTCAAGCTGAATGTCTCTGCACTGCCTGCAGGCAGCACATAACCCAGAGTGATCTATTTAGCAGCAGTGAGGGAATGCTTCACAGCAGATTTCTCCTCTTGTTATTCCACATGTAAATATTTTGTTTCCCACAACTAACATGGAATTCACAGCAACAACACCTCCCCTTAACTACAGCACAGATTCAGATACCAGAGGGAGATGGCCAAGCTCAGGATACACTGTGAGAAACTCGTTCCTTGCCCACAGGGGTGTCTGCACACTCCAAGTGCTGCAGCCATGAGCCCAATCCTTCCCCCATGAGGCACACAGCCCTTCTGCTCACGGGACAAGTGGGGCTGGGGCTGTGTGGACAGTGGAAGTCTTCTGCTTGCTGCAGTGCCTGGGAGTTGTTGGTTTTTGGCTCTCATACATTCTCTTTTGTTTTCTTCCCTCCTTTCCAGCTTAGTGTCCCTGTCAGTGCATGACGTTGTGCTCAGCCACCTGACAGCAACTTTGCCTGGTTTGGTAAGTCTGAAATCTGCTTTCCTCCCATAGCCAAAATGCTATTTTGAAACAGTGGGGATAACGCAGTGCATGGCTGCGCTGAGCTGAGGCATGCCCATGCTTTGCTCCCACAGTGGCAGTGTGCAATGTGGGCATCCTGGCTGCTGCTGGGGCACTTTGCCTGAGGTGTCCCCAAGCAGCCCAGGGGACCTCCACCACCCCCAGCCCATCCAAGTGCCTGCTGGCTGCCCCATGGCTTCATGCTGTGGCTCAGAGCCATCAGGGCTGCCGGGGCCGTGCAGGGCACCCATGAGTTGTCTTGTGTTGTGTTCTATTGCAGCTGTGTCCAGTGATGAATGTTGTCTACAGCATAGTGAACGTCAAGCTCCTGAGCACTCTGGATAGTAAGTCCCAGTGGAAGATGCTTGCTGTGCTTGGGCGGTGGGATGCACGTGGTCCCATGCTGCTACTCCCGTGCTTTGGGGTCCTTAATGCTCCAAGGGCAGAGATTGACTCTGAATGAGAGCATCTCAGGGCCTCGGGTTTCAACTCCTGTCTTTGAGCTACATGCTCAGCTCAGATCCCACAGAGTTTAATTTGGGGACGTTTTGCCAATGCTGAATGGCAGCAATTTTACACAGCTCCCCCGAGATGCGGGTGCTCTGTGTGTGCTGCTCCCTCTGCCTGGGAACTGGGGCTGGGAGGAGCTGTGTTCCCTGACCATCACCAATGGTTTCCCCACGCAGCGGTGATCCCGATTGGCTCGAAGGGGATGCTTCGCTACGGCCTGGTTAGCCCACCATTCATCTCTGGTTCGTCCCTGATTATGAATTTAGATGTAAGTGAACACTGGATATCAGTACCCTGTGCACCCCAAGCTTCATTCAGCACAACCAAACATGGGCTGTGCTGATGAGCTGTTCTGGGACTGCCAGCTAAACGTGCCAGCCCCTATCCGACCCCATCACCAGGTGATTGGGTGCTCTCTTTTGCTTCACTGGCAAACTTGCTGCATTCTGCCCACATATTTTGCAGGCTGCATGGGATGAGCAGTTGCCACCCCCTTGCACTGCCTGAGGCTGTGGTGCAGCATTTTGCTTTTGCTGTGCACTCTCTGTGATGGGTGAATGCTAACCCAAGCTAATGGATGTATTTTTTTACTGCTGCCTCACGGGAAATAGACTCAAAAAAAAACAAACAGTAATTTCAAACTGGAGAAATTAAATAAACAGAGTGATGGCTAGCAAGAAGCAACCGGCAGGTGAGGAGTAAGGGCTGAAAGAAGGCTGAGTGCTCCACCTGGCAGGGAAGCAGTGCTCCATGCTTTCTTTAGTGCAGATGTCATCAGGATTGGGCTTTGCTCCCACACACAGAGTCAGTCCCTTAGCAAATAGGTGGCATTAGCGTAGGTTCGTTGCAGTTGGAGCAATGCTCCGTAGGGTGAAATGGAGCAGCAGGCTGGGATTTGGACAAAGCATGCTCATTATCAGGGGCGCCAGTTACACGCAGGTCTCCATCAGCTCCTTTCACACACTAAATCTGGAAGGAACAGTTCTGTGTGCAGTGCAGGACCGCGTTGCTGTTTGCTCACAGGGCACAGTGCAGCAAATAGGAGGCAGCATCATCCCCCACAACTCGTATGCCTCTGCCATGCCCTCGCTGCCGAACAGGCTGATGACCATCTGTATGCGCCAGAGCTTCCTCAACTCCGTGCTGATCCTGCAGCTCCAGATACAGCCATACACCTTCCCCTGCTCGCCAGAAACTGTGAGTGCCACAGTGCTACGCTGCACATCAGCAGCCCTTCCTGCTGCTGGTGGCTCTCACCTGAATGAGTGAGCGGCGCTGCTCTGCACTGGGGAGGTTTGGGACTGGCCCAGGAGTGTGAATCACGCGGCTGGGAGCAGGACATGGGAAGTGGGTGGGTGGTGCTGAGACCTGTAGGGCGCCCACCGGAGCTGTGCGCTTCTCTCCCTGCAGTTCTCTGAGGCCAACCAGCTGATAGATTCCATCATAGCCCTTTATCCCGCTGGGGTGAGTGACTTTGACTGGGTACATTTTGGGTAAGTCTTGCTGGGTCAGAGGCCATCTACAGAACGCACCTGGACAAACACCTGAGCCATCTCTGGTCCTCTGCAGCCTTGTGCTTCTACTTCTCTCTGCTGTCTAGTTTTGTTCTCTGCACTTGTGTAAATCTGGGCTTGTCCAAGGTCTGCATGACCTCAGGGGAGCCCCACAGAGCTGTGGGGCTGTGTGTGTCCACGGGCTGAGTGCAGGCAGCCAACTTTCATGTCCCCCATCCCTGCAGTGCACCAGCTGCCCTATGTCCAGTCTTCTGAGCATCCATGTGGAGGGTGCGGGGAACCCCATCCTCCACTTGGAACCCAACAAAGCCACCGTTGAGCTGCCAGTCCTGCTCCAGATATTGGGTAAGCGCCCGGATGAGTCCATCATCAACCTGCTGCTCCTGAAGGTGGTAAGTGGAACACGAGGTTCCCGGGCTGCCAGCAGGGATGGGGCCGTGGCATGGGATTGATCCTCTCACTGTTTGCTTGCAGAACCTCAATCTGAACATCCACCTGTCGATCTCCAGGGGCAGCCTGGTGCTGGCCTTCTCCCTGAACAGGTAGCCTGTCCCCCCCGTGGTGCCTGGCCTGGGGCTCTGCTGAAGCTCAGGGGGCAGGGGTGTGGGGACACAGCATGGCAGGAAGGGCAGTGCATCCCACTGGGATGCCCCGAGCAAGCTGTAAGCAATGGGAGCAGGGTGGGAGTTCAGCCCCATTCCAGGCTGCTGAAAGCCTCTCTAAGGCAATGTTGGCTCTGGAGCTGCTGTCTCTGGGCATTTTTCAGTATTTGTGGCCTCTGGATTTCCCAAATCTGAGAATTCCACATCTGAATGGTGGCACAAAGTGGAGGAGTATCGCTCATCACAGTGGTGGGAGAGTTTTAGGAGCATGGAAGGAAATCTGTGTCCACTTTATAACCAGGAGAGATGAGGCAGTCTGAAAAACTGTACCAGCGTCAGCTTGACTTTGATCCTGGGCAGCACTTCCAAGTGCCTGATATTGGACACGAGTGATAAAGGAGCAAAGGAAAATGCTATCGTTAGTGCCAGTCAAGGTATGATTAAAGATTGGGAAGCATCTCTTACAGCGTGAGGTCTGAGGAATTCAAGCCATTTACCTTGTCAAAGGGTTAGATTTAGAAGCAACATTGGCACAGCCCGTATGCAGTGATACAGACAATGGAAATGCATCAAAGGGCTTTTAATTCAATAGACAAAGATATAACAAGATTCAGTGGAAGCAGAAAAGAGAAACTCAAAGTGGAAATAAAGCAGAGGTTTTAGCTATGGAGATAACTGTGTGATTGCAATGACAGATTGGGAATTTTGGCAGATTCTCCTGAGCTCATGATTCTTATGTTTGGGCTGGGTGCTTTTCCTAGAAGCTCTGCTCTCAGCTAAACAGAAGCCGATTCCTTTTCTAAGGTGAAAAGCTACCTGGGCACAGGAGAGGAGGGGGAAGCCAAGAGCTTGTGTGCACACAGCTGCAGTGCTCTTTTCATTCAAGCCAGTGAAAATGAAGATTTTAACGTTGATTCATTGTTTTTCTTTTGCTCTTCTGCTCTCTTGCAAGCGTGGCAGTGCCTGCTTTTTATGCCAGGACAATGTGGTCCCTGTAGGGACGATGCTCACAGGAGTCCCTTGCCCATGGGCTGAGTAACGCAGCTCTGGGGGTGTGGGGGCTGGGGGCTGAGCTCCTGCTGCTGACCCACTGACTGATGTGCCATTGGCTTTTCCTTTCTGCAGTGCTCCCCTCTTCTTGCAGTCATCTGACATTGGCATCAGTAATGTAAGTCCCCCATCAGGAGGGCTCTTCCCATGGGGTGTGGTGTCCATGTGCTGGGGGGCACAGTGCTGGGGGTCTGAGCTATCAGCTGCAGCTCTGCACACCGTGGCAATGCTTTTGCTGCCTTTTATTATTCTTATTAATTATTATGATTGTTATGCCTTTTCTAATAATGAAAATGCAAAGCCTGAAGTCTGAGTTTATTCACCCTTGCTTGGGTTAAGCCCATTGAGCTCCAGCTGAAATGTTATCCCTAGAACTCTTCCCAAAGGAAGCACCAAATACAAACAGAAAGAAAAGTAGTTTTGATTAAAGAAAAGGCCATGCGTTGAGCTGAGCTCGCTGCTGCCACGTGCTCTGCTCATGGTGCTGTTCCATCTCTGCCTCAGATATCCATCCTGAAGCCACACCTCATTAAGCTGCTGGGGGATACCTACCTGCGACTTCTCAATAGTAAGGAGCCTGGGGCAGCCCTTGATTTGGAGCACTGTTGTTGTGGAGAGGGGGTGGTTTGTATATGGCAGGGGGGTTGCTGTGTCCAAACTGAGGCTGCAGCTGTATGCCCACCAGCCAGCTCTCAGCACTGGGGGCTGTGTGTCCCTGCACTGGGTTAGGCTCTGTCTGTTTTGCAGATGCTACAGTTGTTGAGATACCCCTGCCGAGCATGTTAGGAATTCCTCTGGTAAAGGTGGATTTCACGATCACCTCGGTGAGTGTTGGACGTGGCTCAGCCCTCCTGTAGGCATTGGTGCAAGTTGGGTCGCTGGGGTTGTTTTCTGGCACGTGGGTCCTGCTGTGGACGTGCTACAGGGGCAGAATCTTCCCCTGGGTTGGAACATCCTGCAGCCCTTTGGAGCGGTGCTACACAAAGAGCCCCGAGTCATTCCAAACTCTGAGCTCTGCAGAGAAAGGACCCGGGTCAATCTGGTACCAACAGGGTGAACAGGAGCCGGCAGTGTGTTCCCATGACCAAGAAGGCCAGTGGTGGCCAACAGGGGGACAAAGAGCCAGCAGTGTGCACTGGTGGCCAAGGAGAGGCTGGGCAGTGATGTGGCTGTGTTACTTTGCAGGGAGCGTTGTTCATCAGCATGTGAGCCATGCAGCTCTGGAAAGAAAGAGGGAGGAGATCCGGTCAGGATGGAACGTTGGAACCAACGTTATCATTTTCCCTTTCCTAAACGTACTGCAAAGTTCTTGGTAATATTTAAGGCACTTTAAATTAAACTGGCTTACATGGTACTGAGATGCCTGCATAAGCCAACACCAGTTAGGCAGCTCTGTGTAGAAATATTTATTTAGAGAAATTAGGGGGAATTAGAGGTCATGGTTGTAGAAGTGGCATGTGATGCTGCAGCTAAACTGTTAAATTCCTTGAGAATTTGCTCTTCAGGAAAGTTGTTGTCAGTGTAATGAAAAAGTGAACTTTTTTATGTGGCTCTCCAATGGGGATGTCACCAACCGTGCTGAGAAAAGTCCAAAGCGCTGAGCAGGAGCTCAGGATACATTTGTCATTAATTCCTTCAGTAATAAACATTCATTCTTTTTTAGTGTTCAGAAGGAGGTTTGTGATGCTCTTGTGATGCCTCCCCCTGTGCCTCCTGCTGGAGGATCTGGTCCCTCTGTGAGAGTGCTATGTTGGGCTTCAGTTTGAGATCTTCCATCCCAAATTTCTAACAACGCCCTTGGATTGCCAGTGCCTCCTGCTGTTGGGTTACCCTTTGCTAAAACGCATGTTGGAATCAGAATGAAACTGAATTTCCAAACCAGCAGGCATCAGGACCTGTGTCACTCAGGGTGCCTGGGGCTGAGCTCTGAGCATCCATGTCCCAGCTCAGTGGTGTGGGTCTGGAAGTGCCAGCCTGGTGCCAGGAGGGGCTTAGGGCATGGTCACCCTGGCCCCTTGCTGCCAAGCTAATAAATGCTCTTCCTACTGCAGCCTATTCCTCTTGGGAAGCTAGGTTAAGATATATTAGTCAAGGAATAATGGCTGCAGCTCTACCAGCAAACTTTTATTAGGAACAGTTCCTGCTATTGCCAACCTCAGGCATTAAAATCATTAGTCAGGTCCCCAGGACGGGCATAGGAACCTTCAGGTTTTTTCCCTCCCTGCAATAAATCACACTGGCTTGTTTTGTTTCCTTTCCTATCCCCGACTCTCTGAAATATGAGGTTTTCAAGTGCTTTTCAGCTGCTCCAAAGGCTGGAAATGATGTGGACAGGGAAAGCAGATGGATGTGTAATTAACACAGCTCCGTGGGCTGGGTGCTGAGTGGTGTGGGCACTTCTCCTGGGCAGCACATGGGGACCCTTATCCTCCCACCCATCATAGAATCACAAGGTTGGGAAGGACCTACAAGATCATCTAGTCCAAAAATGACACCTGTGGCACAATGGCACGGGGTCTGAGCGGTGCTCCTGCCCATCCACTCTGCTACAGCTTTGCCAGAAGCATGTTGGAAACATGACCAGCTTTCAGGCTAATATTAGAAACCATTGTACAGATGATTGGTGATCTTTTTTTTTTTTCTTCTTTCTGGCTCAGCTCACCAGCTTTTTGGTTCCCATAGTAACACTAGAAGTGGAGGAATAGCCATGAAGTGTCTGTGGTGGGTAGGGGCGATGCTGTGCTGCATGGGGCTGCCTTGCATCCGCAGAAATTAGTGGAATTTTGATGCTCCCTCAGTGAAATCTAAGGGTTGGGCATTGGTGCTGGCGCTCACTGAGATGGAATTCATCCATCTTTTGGTACGTTGAGGGGGAAAATAGTCAATACCGTACAGGAGAATGCAATATTAAAGAGAAATGTTTAATTAAAGCACGGAATATTGTTACAATCCATCCTCCTTATGCACCAGGAATGCAAAGATCAGGGTTGGCAGAGGAGGAAACTAATGCAATGTTATCCTAAATGTGAGAAAGTGTTGTTTTACTGAAGAAATAAAATTCGTCATGTTTTGTACAGTGAAAATCCACAAAGCAGAGTGGTTTTCCACTGCTTTCACCCAAACATTGCGGCAGGTTCAGGCCATGGTGCTCTGCAGCTTCAGGTTGCATGGGACCAGGACGTAATCCTATAGACAGAGGGAAGCAGGCAGGGGCAGAGCACACCCTGCTCCTCCCAGGGCATGATTTTGGCTTGTGCTAATGTGCTTAGTGAGGAATGCTCATGCAAAGCAAGGGAGTGAGGTTGTGGGAAGGAGGAGAGGGCTCAGAGCAGGGAGAGAAGTCAGTCCTCTTTAAATCAAGTATGGCAGGAGCGGCTTAAACGCCTTGTTGCAGGGAGCTTTGCATTTTGCATGTGCTTCTCCTTACCTTGTGGATCACAACGCTGACGTCGGTGTAGGTGAAGCGGGACAGGTGAGGCAGGTGTACGCCTTCCCTCAGCACATCTGGGAGGAGAAACGGGGAAAGCAGATGGGGAAATTCCCAGCAGAGCACTGCCCTGTGCCCAGTGCTGCCTGCAGGAACATGCCCTCTGCTCACCATCCATCCATGCTGGCACCTGCTGGCAGACAGGGGCCAGGAACAGCTCCTCCAGCACTGCAGCCTGCAGGGTGAAACGGGGCAGTCAGTTCCAAAGGGAGAGGGAAAAGGCTGGGGCTGGCAGCAGTGGGTTCCTGCTGTGCTGCCATGAGCACTTTGAGCCTGCTGCTGGCCCAGCTGGGTGTCTGTGGTGTGAGTTGGCTGAGGATGGCTGGGCTCAGCGCAGTGCTGCTGGGGGCCTGACCACGTTCCATTTCCTGGGGGGGTTCTTGAGGCACCTACCGGCACCAGGCCCACATTGGAGGCAGCCAGGCTGAGCTCAGCATCCCTGCAAAACAAAAGGCAGCACAGCTGTTGCTCAGCAGCCCTTTGGCCCAGTGGCTGGGCAGTTTTCCTGAGGCACCTGTGCTTGGTGACAGGCAGAGGCTCACACACTGGGCAGTGCCTGGCCAGCATCTCCCTGCAGCCAGGCACCTCCCAGCTGGCAGTGGCACTGCCTTTGCCCTGCACGCAGCAGCATGGAGCTGGGGGTGCCTGGCCCCAGGGCTGCAATGAGGGTTTGCTGTGGGTCGTGGGATGCTCGGGGTGATGCACAGTGGCTGGGCACTGTTTCTGTTTTCCTCTCACCACTTCGTTTGGGCTAGAGCTACATCTGCAAAGCCAAGCTATGAGAGCTAAGGAATTCCCCGGACTGCTCTGCCTCTCCCATCCCATGCTATGGCTGTGCCATGTCCCCTGCAAGGCTGCAGAGCACAGCCAGGCTTGTTACTCTATCGCTGCTGTGGAGATCATCATCCGTGTGTCAGAGACGCTGAGCTGCAGTCCTGTGGTCACATCCTGCAAGGAGAATCAGAGTGAGCAAATGGTGTCACTCCGGATCGGAATGCTGGGGTACAATGAAGCTGTCTGCGTGCTGGCCCTGCAATGCACTGCTCACACCCTGCTCATGCAGGAGACCGATGTCACTGCTGTGCCCGCTGCAGTGCTCACTCACCGCGCTCACACTCAGGAAGCTCTGGAAATCAGGTGAACCTGCCCCAATGTGAACAGTGAGGAAGAGCTTCAGAGCTGCCCGGCCTTCCTCCAGCATCACCCGAGGAGAGCTTCGGAGCGCGGCGCTCAGCACGATGGGCAGGTCCTCATGGTACAGGGAGCCCACCTGCGGGGATGTGTTTGCAGCCTGGCTGTTCTGTGGTGAGGGGAGGGCAGCGGGGCATCGCCCCATGGCTGCAGGACGCAGCCACGCACCTGAGTGATCTTCTGTGCCAGCGTGGCAGTGGTCAGCATGCTCTGGAAGCAAAGTGCAGCCCATCAGCTGAGGTCAGAGCACTGGGGGTGATGTGGTGTGGCTCCCGGGGTGCTCAGGGACACAGCTCCAGGGGGTGGGGGCACAGCAACAGCAATTGCTGTCGTCTTGTCCTTCCCTCCTCCCTCGCCTGCTACTCACAGGGATGGTCATGTTGAAGGCTCCGGCCCTTTCCAGGGTGAAGTAGAGGCTGGTGTAGAAGTGCTCAGACAAAGCCAGGATGAGATGAGAAGTGCTGGAGCTTGCCAGCTCAGGCATGCTGAAGGGCACGGGGCTGACTGGCACAGGGACAGCTGCCCCCGCCACCAGGAATGTCGTCTGCAGAGACATGGGGAGGGGAAAAAGGGTTGGGGGTGCTCGGGGCATGCTGCACGAGGTGCAGTGTGCAGCATGGAGGTGGGTGCTGCAGAGCCCTGCTTTACCTGCAGGGAAAGGGCAATGCCCTGCTTGGAGAACACGGGGGCAGCCAGCGGCAGGTACTGGAGCTGGCAGCTGGGGGTGACGGGAAACAGCGCTGCAGAATGAGCAGAGGAACACTCAGAGGGGAGCAGAGGTGGAAGGCTGTGCCTGTGGCCCTCCTGCGTTTCCCAGAGGAACGGAATTCAGAGGGGGAGAGCAGGATTCATTTCTCATGATGTTCCGCCCTCCCCACTTCCAGATTTCTGGTGCCTGGAACTGCAGCACTGCTCACCTGTCAGCGACATTAGCTGCTCGTTTGGAAGGAGGAGCAACTTGGAGACATCCAAGCAAAGCTACAGGATAAAGAACAAACCCTGAGAGGTGGGAGATGAATGCAGGGGCTGCCAGCACTGTCCCTGGGTGCATCTGCTGCAGACCTTCCAGAACTTTGTCTCCTGCTGCCTCCTATCTGTGCAGATGTTCTCTTACCTTATCGACATCCACCTCTTTGTCCAGGATGGATCTGAAGGACTTGCTGGATGAAAACAGCAGAACAGAGGAGGTTAAGCAGCACCAGCTGGGCCAAGGGACCCAAAAGATGTTCAGAGATGTCATTATCATTACTTTCAATCATCTGTTAAACTGTGACTATAGTGTGGAACCCTACTTGTACTAAAAATGTTCCTGCTCAGTGCTTGGAAACATCTGTTCCTTTCTAAGAGAATGAAACTCTATTAAGAGAGAGGCGAGGACAATGCTGCAAACGGAACAAAGCTTCTGCCTTGAGGCTAAAGCATTTGTGTTAACCTCTGTAACCTTTTAGGTCAGCGATCAGCTCTCCCTCCTTTCACCTTCCCGCACAACAATGCTTTTTGCTGCAGAGTCTTTTCCCCTATTCACCCAACC